AGTGGTGAAGTGCGCTGCTCCCCGGTAAGGACAACAGCGCGTGTTCGTTCCCCACTGCATACACCTGTGGTCCGGAGTTTTGCAAATATCTCAGCATTTCATACGAGTTATATTTCACAACATACCCTGCTATTAAGAAGAAAAAGGCAGTAAATAAAAGAGTTAAAACGTTATAGAGTTACTATTGTATTTGGCTGTTCATTAAGCATTGTTGGTTGCATATGAAAACAGATTATCTGTTTATTTTGCACTTTATAAAATAAATCTTCCTATATTCCTTTGATTGTATTAGATTTTCAGATATTCTTCTATTAAGTTTAGGTGTGTAAAACATTGCTACTAGCGCCTTAAACCCTTTCCGTAGTTTTCCGAAGCGAAACCGATCTATATGAGCCAGATGTATCTGACTGTGATTACCACATGGGAAGGCTGAACTAACTTATCATATCTCGAAATCGCAAGAAAAATTTCGCTCGATAAGCAATAACTTCTAAGTGCAACTTCTGTGGTTATAAGACATTAGGAAAATGAAGAAATTCCTATGTGCTTCAAATACTTTCCGGACAGGTCGTTATAGCGAATATCTGGTTACCACGCGCTCATTTCATAGATGAGGCTGATGACTTTCCCATGCGGTGCTCACATTTACGCAAAGAACACCGTATTTTGACAGCAGAACATGAGTTTTTTTCCCGCACCAATGGCATTATACTTGACTAGATCTGGCTCATCTCAACCAAACTTTCACCATCAAGAAGTCAGGGACAGAAACAATTCCAAGACCAAATAACGCCACAGTCGAATTTAGTGACGTTGGACCTGCAAACTACGCACACTTTTGGTAGTTGAAATAGCAGCTCTAAAGAGTGCCGATAATCAGTGGTGAACCTCGCACACGGTATGAGAACAACCATTAAGGCAAACGATAAGGAATTTTTGCAGCTGCAACACTAGTAACTTCCGTCTTCAGAAGGACGCAAGCCAAAGCACCAATGCGCAGTCTCACGATCCGCAGGTGATTGTCAACTCATGATCTATTTAGTTATGGTACTCTCCACTGGGAGACTCCCACGTCCAACGCTGAGGGTGGGGCTTCTGGAATTGCGAGTTACCATAGATTGTCTTTGTCGCCATGATAAAGTCAGCCGCTCACCCTGTTCGTTCCATTCTAATCCATAGGTCCCAATGTGACATTCTTCAGTCGTTCTTTTTGGTCCAATCTTGCGTTGAAATCTCCAATGATGTCTTTGAAGAATGTATATGGTCTTCTCTATAGAACTTCTCCAAGTCCATATAGAACGCTTCGACTTCTTCGTCATAGTTTGATGTCGGAGCGTAAACGACGAAGATTGTCGATGCTGAGATTGATCACATCTTTTCAATCGTAACCGTCCGATTGGTGTTGTTAGTTGTTCGAATGAATCGATTTTCATGGATAAACTCGTGTTGGCGAGAACGCCGACGCCGCTGACTCCTCTACTGTCGCATGTTCCGAGGAACAGTTCTTCTCCTGTGTCATAGACAGGGTTGAAGGGCTGGCGTCTTCTCGTCTCGGCCAGGTCGATGACGTCGTCCCTTATCTTTCTTGCTTGCATGAGCAAGTCTTCTATCGAGGACTCGGATGCAAGTGTACGTGCATTTTAGGTGCAGATCGCCACCACAATTCTTTGGAATCCAGACAGCTTCCATTAGCCCTAAGATTTTAGCTGCCTCTCCGTACTCGTTTCACCCAACACTGCCGAATTGGTGGCTCTTTCGGGGTCAGCGGAGTGAGGCCCGTTTCTTTTACTGTTTTTAGCTTTTTGATACCCACGTATAGCTTGCTGGGCTCTGAGCGTGGGGGCTGGGTATACTCACGGGTAGCTTACCAGGCTCTGCCAGAGTGGACATGGAGCTTATTTGTTGGAGGCGACTCCTAACCGCCTCCCATATACTTCCCTGTCACCTGACTATAGGCTTTTGAGCGAATTAACTTGTAGAATACAATCCGCTTAAGAGAGAACGCACCCACACATGCTTGCATGAATACGCCTCGTAAATACAGAAAGTGTGTGCCAAATCGGAGCAGCAAGTGCAGGGAGTCTATCCCCTGAATCTACCTACGTCTCAGAGAAGCAAAGATCGCTTTTTGTCCGCAATTAACCCCCTATCTGCCACTTTGGGACGCGCCGCGTAGCTTCACGACTAACCGGCTCGGTATCCCTCATATGAGGGAGATCCATGGTAAAGCTAATAGCAGTAGAAAAAGCTCGCGGAAAAGTGTTGCCCAGTGTTTTAGAGAATGGTCATCCAAGTCAGGCCTTGGCCCAAGGTAGGTCGTCCAGAACTCATTCGGGTCGCGTGATTGTTTTAGGTAAACTTCAGGGATGCAGATTGACGTTCCTTTATGGTCAATAGCGTGAAGTTAATTATAATCATCGAGCAGCGTTTCAGTAGCCTGCAGTAATCTCGGAGATGTATAATCAGTCAGATTAGTCGGTAATCAATGCCCGCTTTATGGTGTCAGAGAGGCTTTTTGTGTTCCTGTTTTTAACCTACCAGTAACTATGTTTTCGAATTGTGGCTATATGGGTGCTGTGAGTATATGTGACTCTAACTTCATAAATAGCTGTTGCAGTGCAGTCGTCATCTGTAGGTTTTCATTGGATAATCCATGTTCTACCGAAATAACACACTTACGGCTTGGATAAAGATCTTTATTATTTACCACTTTAACTAATTTAGAAACTTCTTCATTTGATTCGCTAACAAAACTGTTTGCAATTTCCCAATCAGCTAAGGGTGAGCATTAAATCTGTCAAGTTCATTCTGTACAGGTCTCCACACTCTTCGTGATTTAATCTCCTTTCTAGGACTAACTAATGTCTTTTTAACCATGCTCCACTCGATTTTTTGTGTTACGTTGATCAGCAAGGGTGCGTGTGGCGCACTGGTTGGAGACCCCACTACGAGACACATGTGGAATCGATCCCAGCGCTCATGGCCCGCTAAACCTTCTATCCGTACGGGGTCGGCAAATTGATACCAGACATGTCTGGGAGGATAGCTGCACTGGCTCGATACAACAGGTAGGCCACTGCGAGTCATTGTAAAGGCCAGATATGCATTCAATCACCTCCAAACGATACTTAATAAAGTCGAATGCATGGCGCATTTCTCAGAGATTGATCAACGCCGAGAGCTTTATCCTTTACCTTTTACTCCCTACTCTTTTGATTTGCTTTCGATTAGTTATCGAGTCGGTATGGACGGTCCAGTAAGAATAATGTGTAGAATCCACTGAACCACTCAATATGAACACTATGGTATCCTTACGGCTGTTTGGTCCACTATCGACATCGCAATATCCAGACAAGATCTTGTTTGTTAAAGTTCTAGGGAGCTAACATCTTACGTATTTATCGTGACTTGAATGTTTATATTTGATCATTCAAGCTTTGTCAATGTGATGCACTTGTTCTGGGTCTTTCATATTTGTCAGCTTAACCACTTTAGAAGCAACTTTATCTAATTTGCTACAAAAGTGTAATAGTGTAACAAACAGAAATAAGTGGGATGTCGACGGACATTAGTGCACTTTCATTCCGTACAGGTACACCTTGCTTCTATCTAAGCTTCCATTTTTTCCTTAACGAATGCTTTCCGGATCATCTTTCACAGCACGCCCGAGAACGGCTCGTCGATACTTTTTTCAAACAGTGTCGTGAAGATTTCGTCTGAAATGGAACATGTGCTATCAAAAAGTAGCGAAAATATAAGAAAATCCGCATTGTTTAAGAATGTGGTGACTAACAACTCTTTCTGGCTGTATAGAAAGATTTGCGTAACTGGCTGTATCAGCACTTCGCCTACTTCATGAAGTAATGCAGCATTATGGATAAACGATGAATCAAACAACTAAAATTATTAATTATTATTATTAATTATTAATTATTATTATTATTATTATTAATAAAATTCAAAAAATTATCAGCAATGAAAAGACTTTGATTACGTTTCTATACAAAAAAAAATGATGAAATCAAACTTACTGCAGTTCCCTCAAATGGAAGTTAAACTGTTTGGTCCTCCATATACTTCAAAATCAACTCACGGACTGCAAGCTCCCTTTGGTTGCCAATTTTTGAGCTCTCGCTGCATCTCGAATTGCCTGCTTTGGCTTCGCAAGTCTTCCACGAAGTTTCTTTGGAGGACGACCAGCTTTCTGGGAAAAAAGGCGGCCGGACTCACATCACGTATAGGTCCCGACAAGAGAATTTGAACTTGCTTTGCGTCTTAAACGCAGTGCAGATGCAATCAATTAAGTTTCCAGTTCCTGCTCTCCATCGTCAATTGTTACGACATCAATAACGACATCGTTCTTGCCATCAGGCTCCTGTGATTCCACTTGCCTGCGATTTGCCGTTCTTCATGAATCCATGTTTATATCTTTATTTCAGTTGAGATTAGTATGTATAAACATCCATTCCTAAAGGGTTTCAAATCACAAGAAGTCTTTTCTTCTATAATACTGCAATAATGAAAGCTAACCTTTTAACATTGTCAAGTACTAGGTTTTCCTGAAATTAATGTCGAATTTCAATCTGTACTTTCAAGGTGGCGCATCTTGGCTCAGAATAAATGTTATCAACCAATGTAAAAGCCACTACTATCTTCACATCCTATCTTCAACATGGAAAAAATGTTTGTTTCTATAGGATGAATGCAGTTCTGGACTTCAGGAGGACGCAGTAGATGAAGGTAGTCTCGATTTCGACTCAATTTCTCGAGCGTGTTCCGACATGGAGCTAGCGAGATGCTTAAAGAAATAGTAGTTTGCGAGTATGGAGGATGAGGAAGCTTCGTAGTGTGACGCTTGAACAGACATCGTGAGCAAGCACAACCGTCTTCGTTTCAACCGATGCAGGCGCATCCGACGATGTCTCGGTTGAATCTCGTTGATTTGTTGTATTTGTACGCCGAGCTCTCTCGGTTCTCAAACCTTCTTCAATTGGTCCGAAGCAATTGAGATGCTTACATCGAAATTTTCCTGAAAGTTCTCGAACAGTGTGCACATGTTTGCTTCCACTAAGCTCTTCGATCCATCGCCTATGATAGCTGAAGGACATTCGCAATATTCCTCACCATCAGGCTCAAATTTCCCTTGATGAAATTCTCCGAAATAAGCGTTGCACTCTGCGCTCGTTAGAATTTTTTAGGCCCCATATCTCATTGATATTTGAAGCCGTTTGCGCTGCGTACGGTCAAATATGAATTCTTAAAAGTGGACTTCCGAAAATTGCCGTTCTGACATCCGAAATTCTACGCTATAAAATCTGTCGGAAAACACATCACTATTCAATTATGCAAAGGGGAAGTGAATAAAATGAGGTTGCCATCAAAGTTCGAATTCGGAAAAAACCCCCACCACCAAAAGAGAAACAGTACAAATGAAATTACACATTCGATGTTAATTTCTGAACGCAGTAGATTGCTGAACGCGATCCTATGTCGACATATGCGATGGCAACACTGAATTCTACAAGTGGAAGCAATAGAACGGCGTAATCCCTTCGTCGACTATAGGAGTGCGGTTGGATCGAAAGGATAATAGCCTTAGAGCGTAGTGGAGTTTAAAAAGAATGACAAACAGGTGTCAAGAACTAACACCAGAATCGAAATAAAGTTACCTGCGTACATTTCCAAGTGGCAACGCTGGAGTCACGGTCATGGAACATCCTCTTCGCTGGACGTTCTCGAGGCTTTACCGGATTCTGAAGGATAGTAATGGGACTAGTTTGTTGAATGAAGCAAAAGATTTCTAAAACAGTGCTTAACATTCGCTTTTCGTCTTTAACCAGTTATCTGAAAACGATAATAATACTAATGTACACCTTACAAACAAACCACGGCGAAACAGCGCTGCTATATTAAGATTACACCACGATAACTGCACTGTTACTATTCGGGTTTTTCCTTCTACTCTCCGTTTTCGCCTAAGTTATACGGTCAAAATTTCGATAAAAATGAAGCAGTAGAAACTAAGATACTTTTAGAGACCTAATAATAAATAAATCACCGGATTTCTTCGTTGATGTACCTGACTTTCTTCCATCTTCATGTGTTTGTCAGATATCGACTTCGCATCCCAGACAGTCCCGGCCTTTTGAGATCGAGACGCACTTCCTCACCTGATCTCCTTTCTGTGGAAATCCGACTCAAAGAGGAAGTACGGTTATCGCGAGGACGATCCCTTACAAGTAATGTCCCACCCTGCGATCTTTCAAATCGGCGTAACCGACCATGTTCATCTCTAAGGCTGAACTTTTCAGAGGTTTCTGAGTGGTCACAACACTGGACCCTAATCTTTGTTGAACATTTCTTGAATAGTTATACTGATCTGAATACTTGAATTAGCTTTTACTAGTTAACGACCAAGAGCACTTCTTTACTTGGTGGACTGCAACCTGGTTCTCGTCACCTAATGCTGTGGCAGAAGCTAGGATACTCGTGTCATCTATTAATAAATCATTCAAAATTTGTGCAGAAGAACTACATCCCAAATTATCTATAATATATGGTAAAATTAAGCCAAGTGTTCGAGTAATCAGTCTCCCAATGGAATCACTTTGACGGTTGTTTAGACTTTACTGCCCCACGGCGTCTAGACGAATGGCTTCGATGATAAGTATGATCAGAATGGCTTAAGGACCAAGTGGTAGTGTTTGTCGCATTCCTTTTCAGCACATTTGACTTCCGCATAGCCTCTCTAGCAGACACATTTGTCAATAACGACTCTCTGATTGCACCTAAATCAGACGGTAAATGTCGTTGTGATGAAGATGAAGATCCTGGTGTTGAATTAGTAGTAAATCGGGGTGCTTGCTCGATCTTCGATACTCGTGCTTTTTGTTGACGACCAGCACCTCTCCAGTTACACGCACCTCCTACTCTCCTAGCCGAATCTGCCATCTTGCGAAAGCTTTGGATTGTTGGTTGTTTCACGTACCTAAGCAGCAAAAAAATGGCGTTTATAATCTACGCAATTGGAAGTACATTTACCGTTGGCACTTAGTGTTTGCATGATGTAGACCACGCAAGTCATCCAATTGAACAACATAACGACCTGTTGCGGGATCAATCGATGGCTTAAATTTATCAAGTTAGTTCTCCCACACCACACAAAGTTCTCAAATGAAAAGCACCTCAACAGCTCCGCTAGCAATCGCTCGCATCGCTTTAAATGCAGTTGATCTCTGATGGCGCAATGTGCTGAAAGTGTAGACTCAACCATACGACACAATGAAAAGGTTTCAGCACTTTCCACTATGATTATAGAAGTCCAAAAAAAAACAACAGAACACCTATTTTGATCTCAAGAAAACAACAAACAGAAATAGGCTAGGGGTGGACGTGAACACTCAAAAACAGCATACGTTGAAACGCTGTGAGGCTTACGACAGGAGAATGACTGCGAAGCTGGCAATCTTTGCTGCACGTGCTCCTGAGATTATTTCAAAAACATGAAAATGTCCACATTTTAGAATAACCTTTACACTAACCTCACACTGTAAAGCTGCTTGTCCACGATTAGCAAACATGTTATCCACCAGCTGCTTTTTTCTCACTCTTCGTCTTTTGCCTTCATTATGTTCCTGTGAAGTTGTGGTAATAACATGAACAAAATGATCATCCTTAAATTGGAACTATCACCACTTCATAACCCAACGTACCTGTACAGGGTCAAGAGATTCATCGTCCAATTTTCCACATAATGGATGACGGGGTTGTGATTTCGAAGTCGACAATGAAATTGGAACATGATGTGGAGGAGGCGCACCTTCAGATTGATTAAATGGTCCTTTAAATATATTCATCGCTCCGACCTCGTATTGCAGAGGATGAATTCTCCCCATTTCCAACGTCGATGAGGCGTTTTGAACGGTACGAAGCTCTCTATTAGTATCCGGAACAGTTTCTGTTTGGTGAGGAGATCCTGTCTGACTGAGATGATCGGGATTTGACCGCACATACTGTTGTGGAGAATGTCGATGGACACTAGCGACATATTGTTGATATTCTCCAGTATTCGATATTTCATCAATTACAACCTCATTAGCTGCCACTTGTAGAGATTCCAGCAAATCCCTCTCTGATTTTATATACGTTTCCCTATCAGGAGGAAAACAAGTTTCTTCAATATGGTCCAATGGCTGCAATGAACACCTTGGCATTAATACAATAACATTTTAAACCAATCTGAAAATCACCGTACAAACCTTTCCAATTTTCCGTAGATCTTGGAATTGATATAAATCCTCGTACACCACGTCTGACAACGGGTGCAACCAGTCGTTGCCATTTGTCACTCCACACTGTGAAAATTCTGGATTCTCGGCAAACTCTCTGCGAATGCTAGGACCAACGTGTTCGCTGTAGCTCCAATGAACTTCGTCACTTCCCGCACGTCCTCGACCAATCAGCTGATTAGACATACTGGAAACAAAAATACCAGAGCGCTGTTGAAACTTTTTGCTACTTTTGCAACGTTAGAAATGGCCACTAACATCATCCACATATGGGTTACACTGGAAGGAAATTCGGCAAATATCGTGATTGATGCCCGATGTCACAGGCGAATCTTGTAGGAATAATGACAGCAGGATCTATGGATAGAAAATGAGAAGTTTAACAAAAGTGTTGATAAAGAAAGTTGTCAGCTTCTTCAGTAAAATAACAATAAATTCGAAATTTTAGGAGGTGCCCAAGATCTCGGAAAGTTCGCAATGTATTGTAACAAAATTCCGCAGTCCCGGAGAAAAATAACACGTGGGAGGCCTTTAAACATTATTTTGAAATAAAACAAAGGGAAATATAGAGAGAAGTCGGCTTGGGGATATACCGCCAGGTGCATTAGGTTAGGTGATTACAAACTACAGTAGTGGCCGTTTTGCGCGATGGGACCGCATTTCACCGACTGGTCATCGATTGCTGTAATGGAGCACCTTTCCATTTCATTTATAGAACGAAACTTATTCAATCAGACTTATTTATTGTACTGGATTTGCTTTTTACGTTTACCAGCTACTATTTGGAATATCCAGCCGGGAATGTGTAGTAGAAAACACTAGCAAATAATTTTTTGGCCAAGGCTAAGAGAAACAGGAATCATTTCTCGAATTGAGACCAGATCTTTGAAGTGACGAGGCATTCTCGTGATATCGACATAATGCACTAGGGGCTCGGCGGCAGGTGTTGATCGAACAAAACGAATTAAAGATTTTTCCGATCACAAAGTGACACCGAATAACAGTCATTTAACAGTTATCACTTATTTGCAAACGCATAAAGATTTCTGATGTTCTTCGTATTTTTGTTGAGCAAACGCGAGGTGTTATTATTCTTTGTTCACGATTAAGCTGACGTTTCGGCGGATTTCGGCTTCCTCAGAGCCGCTTCCTATGAGGTTTCCACTAAGTATGCCACGTAGAGACCAACCGCACAGAAATCACGTGGAAGTATAATGTATAAAATATAATAGTATAATCACATTATACTTCCACGTGATTTCTGTGCGGTGGCATACTTAGTGGAAACCTCATAGAAAGCGGCTCTGAAGAAGGCGAAATCCGCCGAAACGTCAGCTTAATCGTGAACAAAGAATAATAACACCTCGCGTTTGCTCAACAAAAATACGAAGAAAATCACTTGATCAATGCCGAGGTTAATAGAAAGTCGGTCGTGGCAGATTTCTGATGGTTTATTTTGATTGATGAAATTCGCTACGAGCTGAGAAGTATTTCTTTGAACTTCAAACGTTAAATCCTTCTCGTGCGCTTACGAAGTGGGATCAATGTGCGCCGACGATATTGAATCGTTCTCGAGTTCCTGAAGCTCTTAATGGATGAACTAAAGCCCTAAACACATTATGCACTCTGCTAAGAAAGTTCACACTTAGCATCACTGAGCTGCAAGCATGTGCAATTTAAAGACGATCCGGAAATTCTCACAATTGAGAGGCTCAGCCGAGAGAAAACGGTCCACACCAGTTGCGATCAATATTTGATAAATCTCAGAATCATCTTCTAGTGAGAGCAAGTACTAATCACTATACTGAATCTCTGCGTTCCTGAAGAGCTAGCACCATTCACTTTTTGAAATTTCGGCGAAAACTGATGTAGACGTTTTATTATCAGTTTTGCGTGACCTCATGAAGAACACAATACTCTTAGCATTACCGTTATTTCTAACTCACAAGCAGCTTTTGGTTTGCCGTTATTTCGTTACACTCAGAACGGCCATAACTTACCCTTTTCATCTACTTTACACTAAAGAAAGTCTTCAAGTGCTTCCAATGGTTGGAATAACACACAGAGTATATAAAACTCCAGAACAACCACGAGTGATGCGACTTTTATCTTCAACGCGCGGTACTTACATAGTTCTTCGACAGACTTTGAAGTGGTGCAGATGGGATTAGCACATGAAAAAATCGGGCCGATATCATTCATAGACGACTGGAAGTAACTTAGTTTCCCACTCTGATGCAGACATATTTCAACTTTGCGCCAACTGTATTAGTTAAAATATTAGGGACTAAAATCTATGGGTCTTTGCCGGTCTATTGCTCCATGACATTCTATCAACTATTGGGAACAAATAGTCAAGGAGTGAAGTCTCAGTACAATCAGAGGAGTATAAGGACATTTACTCCACAAACCACGATACAAACAAAAGTAGCTTCTCAACAAGAAACCAACAATGGACAATGAACAATCGGGAAACACCAATAGCTGCCTGATTCTTGTGTCTTAAAGTCATCGAACCAGATTAGGCGGTGGTGATCGCAGTAGATCTCCATGAACATGTAAACATACGGGCTATACATGCAATAGGAGGCATATATCTCAATTAAGGAAAAAAAATCCACGAGAGCTACCGAAAGGAAGGACCCAAATACTTGCCGGTTTCCTTGACAGTAGCATGTTACAATATCCTCCGCGTCTCCTCCTTCTTCATATCCTCCGCGTCTCCTCCTTCTTCATAACCATTCTGGGGCAGTAGCTGATTAAAGACGACGCTTAGCGCTGGGAACACGAATCGTTCAACACGACGAAAAATGCTAGAGACTCAAGGAGAATGAAAATTTAAAAAAACCGACTAATGAAGTAAGACAAAGTACTTGCCGCAAAGTCAGTAAATTCTTCACTCAACTCAGGACACCCTTGCTCTTCAGCAACGTCTTCATAATCGTCTCCATGACAAACCAGCCAGTTTTCATGGAAGACTCAGTCGATTTAAGTTTCAGTCACAGTTGCACTCTATAGAATTAAACCACTGATGTACTCATAATGATAAACAGGTATCCGAGGATCTAAAAATACCGAACTTACCACTATCGAAACATGGAACTCATAGGCAACACAGACGTAACTGTTCTCAAAGAGTTTTCATAAATAATAAGTGAAGGATAACAGATAGATAACTACCACCAGTTATTTTGTTCTACTCATAGGTTTACAATAAGTAGACAAAAACGCTGTGAAAGATGGACACGGATCATTGCAGCTTTCGGGAGCGCCAATGCACCGAAGCGTCAGCTAATACAGATACCTCACATCTACCTCGCGCAAGCTCCTGAACAGGAGAAATATTGAACACACTCGCCGAAGTTATAGGGAAGTTAGTGGTTAAAAATGGGTGTTACTCATTTTGCATAGATACTTGCAGCAATAACACAGTTCTACTAAAGACCAGAAACCTACTACTATTTGGGATTCCTTGAAACATAAAAACGAGATTCTAGTTGGATACTAAGCCTTACCGTCTCTCCACTGGCCAGCTTTTTACGTCGAAGTGAAGCGGATTAGCGTACGGGAACAATGCTCAACGCTTGTGATGTTTCTGCACGTTGCACTACTGTTGGCACTACAAGACTGTTCAAGAGTGAAATTGTCGAAAATACGACAGATTAAAAACGAGAATGTTTTTATGACGCCAAAGGGCGTTGAAGTAAAAGCAGAAGGAAGGAAAGATAGAAAAATCACTTGGTTTTTTGCTTTGACAGATGAAGAGATCCAGATCATGCGAATTTTAGACAGATGTATGTGAATACAAATTCATATAGTAACTTGAGACGAAAACAGTAAAACAAATGAGTAGTGTTGAAACAAAATGCGTTGGTCTTACCGCTACTTTTCCAATCGATCACACCGTTCGAACGGTGGGTCACCTCAACGGAACAGACGAGCATGGAATCAGAAGTTCATTTAGAAGAGGAAAGTTAGAATCAAGAAGAGGATGGACTCAACATCCCTGTGAGACGTTCGACAATTACATTTACACTGGTCTCATAGCTCACTCATTGTCGGCCTTTTCAATCGGTCAAGAAGCCTATTCGGAATTTCTTGACCCATGGACTGCGGGACCAGCTTAATTGGGTTCAAGGCTGATTTGTGCTCCCCAAATCAATTTCGTTGACGAGTGATTGCTGATGACACTAGTATATAGAAAACTAGCTGAGAAAAAGGCTAAACGAAGGACCCGTATAGTGTGGTGATGAACGCGTTAGCCTTCAGAAAGGGTAATAGCGCGCTCGTTCCCTATAGCAAGCACCCGCAGTCCGGAGTTTCGCGAATGTCTCACCATCATTGTGGTTGCACTTCACAAAATACTTTGCCGTGAAAAACTGTACAGGTAGTTAATAGGAAATTAACATTTCAAAGAAATTATAGTTAATTTTTGAAATAAATCACTTATGAGCGTCATGTGTTAAACGAGGAAAAACCATACTAGGACAGCTCACCTGATCAACCATACCTTCCTCAGATCTTCTAATGAAAGTTGATAGATCTCGTTTTATGCGGTTCTTACTATTCGCATCTAAATCATCGTCCTAGTTGCATAAAAGGTATAAAAAGTGGCGGTAGAAAGAAAAATAATGTAACACACCACTTCAGGAAGCGCAACAGTTTTCCCAGTGGTTATAGCGTCTTCAGAAACACACACCCAGGAGAGGCAGTACCGTTATCATCTAACTGAAAATGAGAGTACCCCAAGGTAAGTTGCGAGAAGACGTTAAACAAGCAATACGTTGTCATAAAGAGAATACTTCATTCCAAAGCACTTTTCACTAGTGAGTTTCTCGACAAATTTCTGGCAAACTTCATCCAAGTTGACCTCTTAATCGCGATGAGATCGGTAGGAAACCACTAGAAGGTAAGGAGATAAGACATGAAATAAACCGAAGTACACAAAATTAACTTAAAAACCTACTGATCTGAATAAACCTCTATCTATAGCCGACTGATTCATAATCACAGAATCTTCTTGGTTGTAACCAGTATAAGATAAAATAGCTAAAAGAGCATTTGTACCGGCAGGAAGCTCGTTGAACCTGCGACATCCGCATTAACGGTAAACATACAGAAGTCTAAAAAGCTTATTCGAAATTTCCTTCTTCTAACCTGAAGAAAAAATCGAAACAATATAAAATACTTTTGAAGGATTCGTCAACTCTAGAATTATAGACTTTTTCGAAAGTGCAATTCACAAAACTGTTCACTACTGAAACGATATGTTAGTCCTAGTGATGATTAGCTTAGACGAAACTATTGTTTCTCGTACGTAATGGTGCTAGAAGAATACTTTGTAAGAGTCATTATTACATTTCATGTAAACCAATAACAAAGAAACGAACTCTGGTTTGCAAATGAGACATCGGTTGTGCAGACAAAAAGTTGGTTTACCTCAGATAATTCCATTGCTCTAGTAGTGACCATAGGTTTCTCTGAGAAATACAACACATGAGAAAGTGTATTCATACAGACAGGGAAAAATTAGTTGTATACACAGACCTTATTTGTTCACCCACAGCTCTCTGAAATGAAACGAATTGTTTTCGTTCGTTAAAAACTGCACTTAACTTTATAAGAATAGCGATTCAAGTATCCGTAATTATTATTGTTGATAAAACTCAATCACACTATTGTTTGCAACAACTACGACCATTCATCAAATAACTTCCTTGATGTGCATTTTCTCGACTATGCTTATGATATGATCAGCAAATGAAGTGATCGAAGCTCACATCCCAAGAATCAGGATGAAATTGCAGGATGCTCACAATGAGTACACGTGTCGCAATAGCCCCTTACTTTTAGATCCTCAGGCGTCACTTCCAACATCACCGTTTCTAAAAGAATACAAGGAAAGCTATAACGTATGTACAAAAAGTTGAGCACCTGGAAAGGAAATTCCTGTTACATTCCCTCTTTCAATGCACTGATAGGTTAAACTACTCTACCTTTAACAAGATCTGACCAGTTATAATTACTCTATGATTCACGGTCTTACAAAATAAGTGTGAACAATAACTACTCAACTCGCAAGTTGTGTACTTCAGGAAGTTCAACTTCCGTTCAAGACGTAATGGCGAAAAAGTTGATAAAAATCAGACTCACTTCCTAGTTGTCGATATTACTCCTTTTGAATGCCAATTTTTGATTTTCTACGAATAATAAAGGTCCACAAACACGGCCTCCATCAGTGTTAATTCGATTCTTTCCATCTCTTATGTCTTGCACTATCGATGCCTTGAATAAATTCGTTCACACAAGACCATGGACTCATTCTAAGTTTGTAGAACTCCAACTTTTGACATGATAATCTCAATCACTCTCGGAACTTTCTTAAATGTGGTCATAAGGTGCTCTGAGTCACGATATATTCCCACCCAAACGTCATTCATAGAAATCTTTGTCGGGTTAGCAATCGACGGTGGCGCTACCTCTAAATAATAGCAGTTATGTAGTACTTCACCGACAATCCATCTACTTCCGTAGCCTCAACATTACCTTCCAAATTTTCCATGGGACCCACCTCCGAAGAATCTAGGATTGGAATCAGCGACGAGCAATCTGAGCTAAAACGATTACGGATAAAGCTCTCCGCGTTAATCAATCCATGAAGGATGCACCATGCATTTCGATTCATTAGGCATCGCTGGAAGTGATTGAATGCATATATGGCTTTTATAATGACGTGTTAGCCCACCGATGTACCGAGCCAGTGCTGCTACCCACCCAGACAAGTCTGGTACCAATTTGCCTACGCCGGAGGGATGGAGAGTTCGGTGGACCTGGCACACGAGGATCGATCCCCATGTGCATCGCACGCCGAATACTGCTCTGCACGGTCCCTCGCCATCTGAGCTATGTGCCATCACTCTAGTTTCTTCACCAAACCTAGTGCTTGACCCTATGGAGTCTCCACAGAGCACATCTAAATGTGATTTTGACATTCACAACATTCATTTGTACTAATGTTCGCTTGAACTTGATACCTACTTAATACTTGAACGGCCCATCCTTACTGGTTGTGCGGGCCCCAGCACAATCACCATTTTTCGGAGATTTGCTGGCTAAGCCATTGTAGTTCTCTGGAATCCCGAGGTCAGCCTGGCTAAAGTCTGCTCAAGGTCTCCACCACTACAGGCAGTCGCAGCTCTTGAGGATCAGAGGGAGATTTGCCACAATGTGACTTTAATGTTAGAACTCAAGTGATAAATTGTAAAAGGAATGAATAGAGCAAAACGAAAACACAGCAGCCATTAGGTCGGTAGAAAAATAACGACCTATAGTGAACTACAAACATCGAAAGCTGAAACTCAACTCAAACACAACTTCATTCATTAAAAGGAGAGCCAATAGTGTCGAAATCGTTCTATCGAAAGCAGCGAGTTAGTCCTTTTTCCCATTGAGCTGAATTCTGGTGTGCTCGAAATGGTGATATTACTTTTAGCATAAAATTCGTTGTTGAAGATTTCTTCAGTGAGAGGTGCTCACAGAAAGTGAGAGTTGCTTAGCAGGTGGTTCGAAGAGTACGGAGAGTGAGGTAACCCGTCGTAGCCTCCCTCAATCATTCAACTTTTGCAGTGGAAGATGAGCAACTTGTGGTCGAGAGGAGCCGTACAAGACCATGGGAAGTTTTATGTTGGCGATGTATGGAGACAGACATGGTGTTTGTCAAACTTCATCAATTTCATTGCAGTACTTTCCCCGTGCGGTCATTTTTTTTTCAAGTCTGAAGTGTGTGAACAATGTGGTTCCGTTGTTGAAAACTGTTATCGTAGTTACCGTTTAGTACAATTTTTTTTGCATGAACCAATGTCGCACGTTATACGGAACATAGCACTTCTTTCCTTCGACTCGTCTTCTCGCATGCATCATACACGAAGATATTCGGCATCTGTTGTTAGGCTAGGCAATTGCTTGGGGATTTTTGGCTTACTTCATGAATGTCGTTGTATGGTGTTTATGTCAACTGTCTCTGGCATCCGGGTACACCCGGGTTAGAGCTACTACACCTCTTGCAGATTGAAAACCGCTTCTCAGAGAAGTATGACGCCAATTCCTGACTCCGGAGAGATCGATGGCTTGATTGAACGATGTCGCTACTTCTGCATTATTGAGGAGTTCTAATTATATGATTCAAATAGTTTCAGTGAATCTTAACCCTTTTATTTACTGCCTTTTTCTTTTCAATGGCAGGATATGTTGCGAAACATAACTCGTATACAATGCTGAGATATTTGCAAAACTCCGGACCGCAGGTGTATGCGATGGGGAACGAACGCGCTGTTGTCCTTACCGGGGAGTAGCGCACTTCACCACCACACCGAAAATCGAAGGACCCGGATGGTGTGGTGGTGAAGTGCACTACTCCCCGGTAAGGACAATAGCGCGTTCGTTCCCCACCGCATACACCTGCGGTCCGGATGTTTGCAAATATCTCAGCATCATATACGAGTTTCAGTGAACTTTTGATAGAAGCTCTAGTGCTTTGCCTTCATGGCGAGTCATATTTCTGTAGCGAAACATTGTACACAGCAAAAATGTAAGAAACAAATATATAGCACAAAATTTTTTAAGATTTCGTCAAGAGGGAATTGGCCATTATCGTTCCGCTGGCAGTATTAATGTAAAAAGCGATGAAACAGAAGTAAAATGGGAACTCTGTAAACTGAAATAGGGCACCATACCATATTGTGCGTTGCGAAGGCGTCGACGTATTGCAAACTTCACTTCTCTTCCAAAAGGTAAGTAAACCTTACGCATATGAGAAACAATGGCTCTGTAATTAGGGCGATTTAGAATCTGAAGAAACATACACTTATAGAACAAAACGATACCAAAGACCTTGATTAATTACATTCAAGAATAAACCGATGTGTACACAGAACGATGTGAACAAAAACTTTGTGTAAGTAAGGAACAACAAAACCTGCACCAGTGGGACCTTTAGATTGGTGATCCTTTTTCCGATTTCCCCAGTTTCTTGTAGCCACAGAATAGGCAAGACCACAAGTTATTTAGTTACGAGTTGATGCTTTGGCGCACACGTCCACAGAAAAGTCTCGATTCATATTCATGTATTTTTCATCAGCAAACCGCATCTTGAAAGAGGTGGATATTTTCAAAGCAACCGAATGTAGGATAAAAGGTTAAAATAAAGTTCCCTTGGTAAATTTCTAAACAACGCTCGAAAAAGGAACGCAAGTAGAGGACCCGCAAGATCTAACCTCTTGTTTCTCATAAGACCTCGATCATCGAGTTCGCGACGGCACAGCGCTGCTAGTAAAAGTCGGTGGAAAATGTACCCAATGAAGTATTAAAATAAATTAATGATTAACCCAGGAGAAAAAGTAGAATTGTCAGTAAAATTTCACGTACCGCTTTCTTTGTTCCACAAAAATCCACCATTCCGACGTAGGACAGGACTTCCTTTTGCAAAATTTCCTTAGAATACTAAACAATTTATATGAAATGCTGAGATATGCCAGGTAAATCGGATGGTGTAGTGGTGAAGTGCGCTGCTCCCCGGTAAGGACAACAGCGCGTGTTCGTTCCCCACTGCATACACCTGTGGTCCGGAGTTTTGCAAATATCTCAGCATTTCATACGAGTTATATTTCGCAACATACCCTGCCATTAAGAAGAAAAAGGCAGTAAATAAAAGAGTTAAGATTGTGACTAAACAATTTGTTCCTTCGTAATACCTAGCTTTACACTATGTGCAAGAATTAAAATGAGAGAAACATTTTGTTCCTGGAATCACAAAAAGACAATGTCAATTCTCCCTGCCCGTGGAAATGACTGAAGGTCTTAGAAAACTGTGATCAGATAGTATTAAAAAGGCATCAGTATAAGAAAAACTGAAACCATAAGATCACTCACACAAAATGAACCTTCAACTGAAAAGACAACTATTTTACATTTGCCCACCTGGATAACAAACGCCTAATCCAGTGAGAGTCTTAACACCCTCTTCATTTCGGGAACATCGAAATTTTGTATAGTATGCTCCAGAATGTCACGATCAAAGATGAAGCCAAGAGCTCGAAAGAAATCATTATAGGAACCTTCCTAAAAAGAAAGCCTCCAAAATTGGCTCAAAATCATGTCCACTTCCGATGTGACGCGTAGATCAAAACGGTCCAGTTGCTCTTTAAAACGGTGATAATATTGACCATTGTCGTACAACTTCCAATTTTGGAACTTTATAAATATACCCACTTGATACAGGGAAGGATAGAAATAATACTTTGCTCATCACAGTCCTCTTGAATCCTCTTCCAGTGCGAGTCAACGTGTTCATACACATGGTCGAAGTTGGACGACTGAAACCTAACCGTGTTTTACTACGAAAAATGACATTAATAGCAAAAAGAAAACTACTTCGAATTCTCAAGACAAGATGTATTTCCCGTCTTTCATCAAAAATACGTAACCACTATTCATTGCCATCTCCTTTTGACCAATTATAAAACTTGAGTGAAACCGAAGATGTAAATGTTTTTGGAACAAAAAGTTAATCACGGGCTAACTACTGACGCAAACAGAGATGAACTAATCTATGGAAGCGCAGAAATTACAAATCTGCATTGGAACTAACTTCTCGTACGAGTCATCTGTGGTTCGCATCGTCCGTGGTGCCCACAGTTAGAAACGACAGCACCAATTTTTTCATGTCTTTTACTATGTAGTGTGGTTTTTTTAAATATCTCCGCTCATTTTTGTTGCTTTCTATGCTCGACGGATCTATTTCATTATTTCTTATACCTTTAAATGCTTTTGTAAGATATCCAATACTCATATTTGAATATAATGCTGAGATATTTACAAAACTCCGGACCGCAGGTGTATGCAGTGGAGAACGAACGCGCTATTGTCCTTTTCGGGGAGTAGCGCACTTCACCACCACACCATCCGGGTCCTTCGTTTTGCCTGTCTCTCAGCTAGTTCTATTGATCTTTTGCCATCAGCAATCACCCGTCAGCGGGAGAGACAGGCAAAACGAAGGACCCGAATGGTGTGGTGGTGAAGTGCGCTACTTCCCGGAAAGGATAATAGCGCGCGTTCGTTCCCCACCGCATACAACTGCGGTCCAGAGTTTTGCAAATATCTCAGCATTATACACGAGTTATATTTCGCAACATACCCTGCCATTAAAAGGAAAAAGGCAGTAAATAAAAGGGTTAATACTCATATTTGACTAAAAAGGCCTGTCCAGCGTTCGAACACCGGGCCATTAATATTTGATTCATCTACTTAATTAATGCGATAATTATTAGAGATAATAGCGACTGGAGAAAGGAATAGTAATACCGAATTACAATGAGCGGATAGCACAGTGGCAGTGAGGTCCGTCATCACGAGCATGATGCTATTTCGATTCCGCCCCGGACTAGCCAAGCCTCTCATCCTCGCGGGGTCGGGAAATGGGTATCGAACTTGTCTAGAAAATAAATCGTTCTCTGGATTTCAATGCGGAACGCTCCAGCCCGGCTATCTCACGACTCCAGGAAGAATTGCTGGACTAGCATTCTACGACATTCAAGGTTAAATGAAAATCCTCAAGCGGCAACCGAAACCATACGTAAAAGTTGGAAGATCTTCGTGAACAATGGATGCGAGGAAACGAGTCGAACATGGAAAGTGGTGGGATCCGCGCAGTAGACGTGAAGGCGGTCGAATAAAATGAAGAAATAAAATAAAAAATACTAATTCACTGGTCAAGAACAGGACTTCATATGGTTGAGATCAAGATTACGAAATGGACATCATTTCTGAGTGACTCCTCATCGAAAGTGAACAAGAAGACAATGAAGACACGGAGAAAAAAGGCGACTCTCTATTGGTTGTCGTCGAAGAGACTGAAGAAAGTGAGTCGGAAAATGGATATGAAGATGATCACGATGATATCGAGAATGATGGACGGACAAAACTGTTCCTCAAAATTGATCAAGTAATTTTCTTCGTATTTTTGTTGAGCATTGTGTTGTGTGTTGCTCAACAAAAATACGAAGAAAATAACTTGTTCCCCAAAAAAAAACAAACACTGCAATCAAGCAAATCGGCTATACTATACGTCTTATAAACAACCGGTAGACAACAGCCTTTAATTGACAGGTCGCGTAGGATGTCACGTCTACAGGTGCTCAACGACCCGATGATGACGCCTCCTCTCGAAAAACGGAGAGGGGAAAATATGATTAACTTGGACGATTCAGAAGAAGTAAAATCCACTACACTATTCTCTTGTTCGCGAGTGGGAGAAGTGGAAATATCAATGTAGTCCACTCGATGTTAAACAGGGAAAAAGGTGGTGCAGATGGGTGACGAGTAATAGCAAATGATAGATAGATAAATACGTACCTTGATTCTTCACAGATAATTTCAAGTACAAATGATCGCTGTCGGAAGACCATAGCCAGGATTACACTCATCGCGTCCAATATGGGCCGTAAGTTTTGAATAGGTAGCGCCTCAGTGCTTTATATTCTGCACACGCAAAAGGAAAAAAGAAAAGAATGAGTGGTAATAAAAACCCAAAATCTTCATATTACCTCATTAAGCATCAATGGTGTTGGTGTTCCATCTCTCCCAATGTGTTGATTGCGACAAATAAAGCTGCGCCAATTTTAGTGAAAACTTTGTTGGGTTTTTGATGTCTCCTTAAGAAAGGAATGTGTAGCCATGCAAGACGAGAAAGTTTAGGAACACAAACGGACAATTACCAGAGAAGTGCTGCATTTCAGTAAGAGCACCGTAGATGCATCTTCCATAATTGCTTGCACATCCATTTGGACGAATCTGTCAAAAGGATCAAGCTGCCGATAAACAAGACCCCTTTCTTCATGCAGCAGTCACTACTGACACGCTAAAAACAACTGCGAAATCTTCATCGATAAAAAGCAAAGGTCTGTTGTTTGACGAACATCAAATTTATTAAGAACCATACATAGAACGGTGTTAGAACACCAAACCAGACCTGTCACTCTTCGCATGAAATTTCTTCTGCATCCTCTCCCTCCCGCAGATCTCCCTCATATAAGGGATCCCGACACGGTTAGTCGCGAGGCTACGTGGCGCGTCCCCAGGTGGCGGACAGGGACTAATCGCAGACCAAAAGCGATCTTTGCTTTCCTGAGACGCAGGTGGATCCAGAGGGTGGACTCCCTGTTTCTGCTGCCCTGATTTGGCGCATACTTCCTGCATTTGCTAGGCGTGTTCATGCATGTGTGTGTGGGTGCGTTCTTGCTTATGCGGATTGTATTCTAACAGTCAATTCGGCCAAAAGCCTGCAATCAAATGACAGGGAAGTATATGGGAGGCGGTTAGGAGTCGCCTCCATCAAATAAGCTCCATGTCCACTCTAGCAGAGCTTGGCAAGCAACCCGTGAGTATACCCAGTCCCCACGTTCAGAGCCCAGCAAGCTATACGTGGCTATCAAAAATGCTAAGCACAGTAAAAAAAGAACAGGCCCCATTCCCCTGACCCCGAAAGAGCTCCCAATTTCGCAACGTTCGGTAGGACGAGTACGGAGAGGCTGCTAAAATCTAAAGGCTAATGGAAGCTGCCTGAATTGCAAAGAACTATGATGACGATTTGTACCTACAATGTACGCAACTTAGCATGCGAGTCTTCGATAGAAGATTTGATCATGCGAGCGATAAAAGTAAGGTACGACGTCTTCGGCCTGGCCGAGACGAGACGACGCCACCCATTCAACGTCGTCTATGACACCGGAAAAGAACTGTTCCTCGGAACATGCGACAGTAGACGAGTCAGCGGCGTCGGCATTCTCGTCAATACGAGTTTGTCCATAAACATCGATTCATTCGAACAGCTTACAACCCAAATCGGACGGTTACAATTGAAAAGATGTGGATCAATCTCAGCTTTGACAATCTTCGTGTTTACGCGCCGACATCAAACTACGACGAAGAAGAAGTCGAAGCGTTCTATATGGACTTGGAGAAGTTCTATAAAGAAGACAATACATTCTTCAAGGTCATCATTGGAGATTTTGACGCCAAGATTGGACCAGAAAGAACGTCTGAAGAACGTGACATTGGGACCCACGGGTTCGAAAAGACTATCCATGGTAACTGGCATTTCCAGAAGCCCCACTTTCAACGCTGGACATCGAAGTCTCCCAATGGAGAGTATTATAACGAAATAGACCACATCATAGTAAATAGAAAGTTTCGCCGAACCAATGTCGCTGTTGTTCCAAAATTCTACACGGCATCAGACCACCGCCTCCCTCGTGCAAGATTTTATTTCTCGCGGAAAGGAGAAAAAGCCGCTAAATTCCAAAACCAAAGTCCCAGAACCACCAGAAAGTGGGACTTATTCAAGTCATTAGTCCGATGTTGGGAAGATGCCACTGTCGATAACAGCGACGAAGAATGCGATCGGCCTATTCAACATCTTCACGTTAGTGCTATGAAAACTGAGAGTTCGAAAGTCACCAAGAGATGTTTGTCTTCAGGAACATACGAGCTGATACGTCAGCGAGGAATCCCAGGAGCAGCATGCAACCGTGACCCAACGTCCGAAATTGCAAAACAATGCAAGCAGGCGATAAAAGAAGATCTTAAAGAGAGAAGAGCAGCAGTAACGGTCGAAGCTGCAGAGGCTGGAAAAACATTCGCAAAGCCAGAGCGAGCAGAACCCACTGGGCTACTCTTGTACGCGACAGGGAAAAATGGAAGATTTACTGGCGCCCGCTCGAGTCACTAGACAATCAACGGGAATACAGGTGACTACAGGTGACTACAGGTGATCCTCTTCCTCCAATACTTGAAGGACTCGCTCTCCACCATAAGGCATTTCATCGTCATTATCTTCATACATCGCTAATTAATGAACAGAGAGCACTAAGTGCAGTAGAAAACAATCCGCCAAAAACATCTACAAGTGACTTTGACGTTGGAGATGATGGGCACCAATGCGCAAGGCAAGCCAAAACCCTATAAGTCGCTATCAAAAAAATTAACCACGTGACTTCGTCAGCAACTTCAGAGCTAATGGCTAGAAAAATAAAGAAAAAGGTACACAAATACGACAGTGGATGTAGTATGAAGGTAGCTTGACCAAATGTAAAGACGAGGTGTTGACACTGAGAAATCTATTGATCCACTCAAATATAGGTAGAATAAAAATTTGACGGAGAAACAACTGAACTCATAGGTGACGCAAGACTGTGACAAACAAACAAACAAACAAACAGATGACAAACAAACAATGATGACAAACATTGGTCTGATACCAGCACTGAATTGACGCTAAGGACATAAGCTAAAGCTTTCTCATACATATTAAAAAGCATCGATCAGGCAACGTAGCGCAATAGGTGAGATCACAAATGGCGGCTTGAGAGCAAACACTGACCATCTTCAGAAGCAAAGTAGAGAACAGAAGCACGCCATAATGTATGAAGCAGATAGAACATTAATATTTGAATGCGAAAAGCTTTCAGACAAACTAAGCAGAGTGGTCAATCAGCAAGTGGAGATACAAGGTAAACCACAGAAACTTCTGTGCTAGCACATACCGCACAACGGACTGGAAACAATTTGAGTGGAGCAACGTCCGTGAGTATAAATCCAAGGACACTGTTCGTATCAACTCAACCTAAATTGTCAACTTTTTAAAGGTGGTGAATATAGACGTAAAAAAAATCCGAATTGACAGTTATCCATATAAGTGAGCAGAAATGAGGTAGGTATAAAACACTTATTCGACTTACATTTCGGCGATTGTGCTTTCTTCGGGGACGCGTTGATCCGAGTTGATGATCCTAAGATGGTCGTTGTTGCCAGGTGGTTGTTTGCTACTCGTCGAGTAGAATCCAGGGGAGCGAGCACCGTTTCAATGATGAAATTCACTCGGTGGTGGCATTCTACAGAGGGCTGGTGTCGATCGATTGCCGCTATCCAACACGATCTACCTCGAGCGGGCAGTGCCCCCTGTGCCGGTCGCCTGACTTCAGTTGCTGGCACGTAGCGTCGCAATACCTTAAATCCTGACTTCCACTAAACCTTTGCAAGAATATCCAATAATTTTTTTTTATGAATGTAAGCCAGTTCTCGACTGGCTTTTCCCACATCAATTTTATATACCCTGACTGTCTACTTAAGAGTTCAATTGGTTTGAATGTGCATAGACGTGGCTTATATGCGAACACTATCCATGAAACAAAGAAGAAGATTGATTTGATATTAGCTTATATTTCGAGCAAATTAAATGCTTGTTCCAGAATTCTGACAGATCTGTTCTGCCTCAGTGTTTTTGGTGCTGGTATGAACCAAAATGTCTGAAGTTCTACATCGTGCGAGAGGAGAATGAAGCTCAATGGTTAGAGATGTTGTACAATACACGCGGCGTCTTACCTTTTACTCATCTCCGGATGCAATATTCTTGGATCTTAGGAAAGACTCCCTCCGATGAACAAAGGACGGCGACAGTTTGTGGAAAAAATTCGGGAGCACTCTATTAGAATTGCTTCAGGATTCTAGGGAAGATCGAGTGGATTGGCATTCAGTGAAATTTACAATGAGGGCAAAATCTTTACTTCTAGCTTCGCTAGGGCATTTCTGGCTCTCTTGGATCGGGATTCCCAGACATGTATGACGCGTATTCCTGAATCCGAAGGGATCAGTGGTTTGTTTGGTTTCAGGCGAGAATGAATCGAAGTCTTGCATATATTAAATGGTATCGCCACCTCTGCGTTAATGATGGTTTTAGTTACACGATTCAGATAGTCGCAGTGAGCTTTTTGATAGACACACATGGTCTCTTTGCCTTCATGAAGAGTCATGGCCTTGTTGCGAAACATTGCAAAACGTTGCACACAGCAACAATATAAGCAACAAATATACAATGCAAGATTTTTGAAAGCCTAATAACGACAGAATCGGCTATTATTTTCCCACTAGCAACGCCAGTGCAGAAAAGAATAGAACAACAGTAAAACGAAAACTTAGTAAACTGAAATAGGGCACCATTGCACATGGTGTGTTGTGAAGGTGCCGACGTTTCGCATACTTCCCTGCTCTTCCGATAGGTGAGTTAGCCCTACGTAGATGGGAAATGGTGGCTGTGTAATTAAGCCGATTTAGGACACGAAGAAACGTACACCTCTTGACAAGACCACTAGCTATTGATGACGATTTTACACAAAGAAAAAGAAAAGGCAGTAAATAAAAGAGTTATTAAGATTGTGATTATAACTAAGCCTCAGCTTAACTGGGTTCAATGCCGATTTGGGCTCCCCAGATCAATCCCGTTGACGGGCGATTGCTGATGGCAAAAAGATCGATGGAACTAGTTGAGAGACAGGCGGGACGAAGGACCCGAATGGTGTGGTGGTGAAGTGCGCTGCTCCCCGGTAAGGACAACAGCGCGTGTTCGTTCCCCACTGCATACACCTGCGGTCCGGAGTTCTGCAAATATCTCAGCATTTCATACAAGTTAAAATCGTTCAATTTATCCACATAAAAACCTTCAACTGACAAGATATAACTAGCCGCATTTGACCCACTCCGATAACAAAAGCTTTATCCAGTGAGGGCTTCAACACCTCCATCCGATGAGGGTTTCTGCATCAGTTCGAGATCGTTAAAGTCGTATATTACGCGCTCAAGGATGTCATGATGTGAGACAAAGCCAAGAGTTCGAAAAACAATCATTATAGTAATTTCCTTAGAAAGGAAACGTCCAAGATTTCCTCAAGAAACATGCCCACCTGCGATATGACAAGCAGAATAAAACAGTCCAGTCCTTCTTTCAAAC